CACAGCTGACCAGCTTCTGCCCTGAGGGGTCGAAGGTACGATTTGCAGCAGGATGTCTGAGGGACCGGGCTAGGGATTGGTGGGAGTCGGTTGGTGACTCTCTAGGAGCCTCGGCTGTTGAGGCTATGACATGGTCAGACTTTGTGACCCAGTTCAGAGCGGAGTTCGCACCTGCAGTGGAGCTCCAGCAGTTAGCCAGGGAATTCTTGGATATGAGGCAGACCACGGAGACTGTAGCGGAGATCACCGCCAAGTTCCGGGAGAGGGCGTTATTGGTGCCCCAGTATGCGGGTGATGAGGACATGAGGAGGACCCGCTATCATGACATGCTACGAGCTGACATTCGGGAGCATGTTAGTTTTTCAGCTTGCCCTACCCTGGATTCCATGATTGCCAGGGCAAGGGAGAGGGAGATTGATCTGGAGTATATCCAGAAGAGGAAGGCAGAGGAGGGGCAGGTTACAGGGGCTTCGGGGAAGAAGCCCAAGGGATCAGATACTGGGCCGAAAGGCCAACAGAGCCAAGGCCGCTGTAGGAAATGCGGCAAGACACATGAGGGGGTTTGTAGGTTGGGAGCGTCTGGCTGCTACAAGTACGGCAAGACGGGGCACTTCAGCAGGGATTGTACCGCCCCTGCACCTGTTATTCAGACGTCTGAGTTGCTGTGTTTCCACTGCAACCAGAGGGGCCACAAGAAGGCCAACTGCCCCCAGTTGACAGCAGCAGCGCCAGTGAAGGCGCCAGCTCCAGCGACCCTGCGGATTACAGATGGCCGGCAGGGCAAGGCAGAGGCTCCGGTGGTGAGGAGCCGGGCCTTCCAGTTGACTACCGAGGAGGCACGTGCCGCACCCGATGTGGTGACGGGTATGACTCTTTCCCTCTGACTTATTTATATGATGTTTATGATATTGATATGTGCTCTGTATATATACGTTTAGGATCGTTCCATGTGAACGGTATCCCAGTACAGGTGTTGTTTGACTCGGGTGCCACCCGATCATTTGTTTCCCTTGCGCTTAGCAAGAGGTTCACTGAGTCTTCGGGCATGTTGGATTGCCCTTTAGAGGTAGAGATTGCCGATGGTCGATCGGTACGAGCATCAGCGGTGTTCAGAGATTGCGCCCTGAGGTTATTTGAGGAGCGCTACTTGGTAGACTTGGTTCCCATTTCGTTGCGTGGGAACAAGGTGATTATAGGCATGGATTGGCTCAGCCCTAACGGGGCAGTGATAGATTGCGCACAGCAGCTAGTGCGAGTCAGGACCCCAGGTGGGGGAGAATTAGTGATCCACGGCGAGAGGCCACAGTGTGGACCCACAGTATGTTCAGCAGCGAGAGCTAGGCGCTACCTTCAGCAGGGCTGCGCCGGGTATGTCGCGTATGTTATGGATACCCGGGAGACGGGTAAGGAGACGGTGAGCGAGGTTCCGGTGGTGCGAGACTACGCAGATGTGTTCCCAGAGGAGCTTCCTGGGATACCTCCGGAGAGACAGGTGGAGTTCAGGATCGACCTTGTTCCTGGTGCAGCTCCGATAGCCAAGGCACCATATCGGTTGGCTCCTCCCGAGATGCAGGAGTTGTCTACGCAGCTGCAGGAGCTGCTAGACAAGGGGTTTATCAAGCCGAGTAGTTCACCTTGGGGAGCCCCGATTCTGTTTGTGAAGAAGAAGGACGGGTCGCATCGTATGTGTATAGACTATAGGGAGCTGAATAAGGTAACGGTGAAGAACCGTTACCCACTCCCGAGGATTGACGACCTCTTTGACCAGCTACAGGGAGCATCTTGGTTCTCCAAGATTGATTTGCGTTCAAGGTATCATCAGATGAGGGTCAGAGAGGAGGATGTGCAGAAGACGACGTTTCGGACGCGTTATGGCCACTATGAGTTCGTGGTGATGCCTTTCGGGCTCACCAATGCTCCTGCCGCGTTCATGGACCTCATGAACCGCGTGTGTAGACCGATGTTAGACCGGTCTGTGATAGTGTTTATTGATGATATCTTGGTTTACTCCAAGACGCAGGAGGAGCATCTGCGAGAGGTTCTAGAGACTTTGAGGAGGGAGAACTTGTATGCCAAGTTCTCCAAGTGTGAGTTCTGGTTGCGCGAGGTGTAGTTTCTTGGGCACCTTGTCAACCAGAACGGGATTTCGGTAGATCCGGCCAAAGTGGAGGTCGTTATGAGATGGGAGATTCCAAGGTCTCCATCTGAGATTCGGAGTTTCCTGGGATTAGCTGGCTACTATCGGAGATTCATCCAGGATTTCTCCAAGATAGCCTTACCCCTGACCAGGCTAACGAGGAAGGCCGTGGTCTTTCGTTGGGGGCCTGAGCAGCAGGCCGCGTTCGAGACACTGAGACAGAGATTATGCGAGGCGCCAATCTTATCCCTGCCAGAGGGCATGGAGGATTTTGTTGTGTACTGCGATGCGTCGATCTCAGGTTTGGGCGCAGTATTGATGCAGAGAGGACATGTCATCGCCTACGCGTCGAGGCAGCTGAAGCCTCACGAGGCGAATTACCCGACGCATGATTTGGATTTGGGGGCCGTTGTTTTCGCCCTCAAGATTTGGCGTCATTACCTCTATGGGGTTCGCTGTACCATTTACACGGACCACAAGAGTTTGAGGTACCTCATGGATCAGCCGAATCTGAACATGAGGCAGCGTAGGTGGATTGAGAAGATTCAGCAGGTCCGGAGCACCGAAGTAGTGCTCAAGACCACAGAGAAGATTCAGCAGGTCCGGAGCAGGCTTCAGACTGCTCAGAGTCCGCAGAAAAGTTATGCCGACAAGCGCCGATCAGACCTGGAGTTCCAGGTCGGGGATATGGTTCTCCTGAAGGTGTCGCCATGGAAGGGCGTCATCCGATTCAGGAAGCGGGGCAAGTTGGGCCCCAGGTACATTGGGCCCTTCAGGGTTGTAGCCCGGGTGGACAAGGTGGCGTACCGGTTGGATCTGCCAGCCGAGCTCAGACAGATCCACAACACTTTCCACGTCTCTCAGTTGCGGAAGTGCCTGGTGGACGACTCAGCAGTGGTACCCTTGGAGGACATTCAGGTTGATGACAGCCTGAATTACATCAAGCGGCCTGTAGCGATCCTTGACCGGAAGTCGAAGGATTTGAGGAACAAGAGAGTGGAACTCGTGAAGGTGCAGTGGCAGCACCGGAAGGGGTCGGAGTGGACTTGGGAGCCGGTGGACGAGATGATGGAGCAATACCCCGAGCTGTTTCAGGAACGAGCAGCAGACTTCGAGGACGAAGTCTAAAGTAAGTGGGGGAGATTTGTAGCACCTGGTTCTTGGTACGTATTCTTTTATTTAATTCTTTAAATGTTTTGCAATTTTGGCCTTGGACTCGACAATGACGACGACGACTGTAGCACCTTAAGGCATTTGGAGTGATTTTGGTGCTTTGTGACCCAAGGAAGGAAGGAAAAGCTTGAAGGATCAAGAGGAGGCTAGAAGGATCCGATTTTGAGCATCATTTCCAATCTACAGAAGGTATAAAGTCTATACCTTGCTTGTTCTTTTGTTAGATCCTATTTCATGGAGTTTTAGGGCTTTTCTAAGCCATTTTGGTCACCAACCATGATTGCAAGCATGGTTTGGGGTTGATGTTTCGGATCTAGGTCCTTAGAGGGGTTACAAGGCAGAAAGGAGTGGCTTTTGCACTCAAAGAAGGCCCCATGCTTTGTAAGAGCTTGTTTTAGGACCTTTTGAGCTCAAAATCCCATGCAAGCACGTAAAGGTTGTAACTTTACGTGCTAGATCGATTATAGAAGCTTGGATCTATCTTTTGATCAAAGGTTGTATATCAGAAATCAAGGATTTAGAGTGTGGACATGACCGACTCGGCGAGTCCGTTCTTGGACTCGGCGAGTCCGAGGCTTTGAGCCCCATATCTGTTAAGGGTCAAGGACCCAGTTGAGTGTGGAAAGGTTTCAGGGAGGTCCCGGGGAGTGACCCAACGTTCTGGACTAAGCCATTGTTCTGGAAGTTCATGGGACTCGGCGAGTGCACGAACGGACTCGGCGAGTCCAAGGCAATCTTCTTAGAACTCGACGAGTTGTTCATCAACTCGGCGAGTCGAGGACAGAACTTGATCATCAGATGAAGGTGGACTCGACGAGTTGTTCACCAACTCGGCGAGTCGGATGAGTTTTTCATGTGAGGTTCATATGAGAGAAGAACTCGTCGAGTTGTCGGCCCAACTCGACGAGTGGAGTCGTGTATAAGGACAAAAAGAAGGATAGGGACTCGACGAGTTGGCGGCCCAACTCGGCGAGTCAGGTCAACTGGAAGTTGACTTTGACTTTGACTTGACTTGATCAGGGGTAAAATGGTCATTTTACCCAAAGAGTAGATATCAGACTCTGATTGTGTGCTTTGTGGGATTTATAGCCGGAGGATTTCCGGAGCAGCAGCAGCAGATAGAGAATTCCCGCACAGATCAGCAGCTGCTACGAGGTGAGTTACCTTCCAGTAGCGGTGGGTCTACGGCCACAATGTCGGCCCACCAGTAGGAGTTGTATGTTGGGTGATTGTCTTTGTGATATCATCTAGGTTTGCTACTACCTGGTATGTTATGTGCTAGTATGATATGATGTTATATGCTAGTAGCAGTCGGGGAGATAGTCCCCAGGATTTCCGGTCGATAGGGCCGAAAGGGGTAGTCATACCCAGTCATGCTATACAGATTATGATTATGTGATATATGTTATGTGGTAGTAGTAGGGGGTGAAATAGTCCCCAGTATCCGGTCGAAAGGACCGAAGGGGAGGCCAGCACCCAGATATGCTAGGCAGTATCCGGTCGAAAGGACCGAAGGGGAGGCCAGCACCCAGATATGCTAGGCAGTATCCGGTCGAAAGGACCGAAGGGGAGGCCAGCACCCTGATATGCTAGGCAGTATCCGGTCGAAAGGACCGAAGGGGAGGCCAGCACCCAGATATGTTAGGCAGTATCCGGTCGAAAGGACCGAAGGGGAGGTCAGCACCCAGATATGCCTGACAGTATCTGTATGTTATGTGATTGTATGGTATGTGGTACGATGGGGGAACTCACTAAGCTTCGTGCTTACAGTTTACAGTTTTGTTTCAGGTACCTCTTCAGCGAAGGGGAAGGAGCTGGCGCGGTAGCGGCACATCATACACACACGCATTGGTTTTTCCGCATTATGAGATGTTCTGGGATTGTACTCTGACATTATTATTATTTTTATGATTTGGTTTTTTAGACACGAGATATAATTTATGAAATGATATGATCGGATGATGTTTTACTACAAATGTTTTACAAATCACTTATTTTAAATGAAATTTTTGGACGTGAAAATTGGGTTGTTACAACGACGAACGGGTCCAAGAAACACAACAACCAACTCTTCGAAGGCAAAAAAAAAAACAAAAGATCCAAAAAAAGAGAACTACCGCATGGAACAAAGACGAGGAGGAAGTTCTAGCGAAAGCTTGGATTTTCATATTGCAATACGGGGATGTCGACAACTCACAAACGGGTCAAAATTTTTGGTGTCGTATTTTAGATCATTTCCATGCGTTATTAGGAAAGAAAACGGAGCGAATGTACGACTCGATCAACGCAAAATGGCGTGATTTACGAGCGGCTTGCACCAAATTCAATGACATACTTGACAAGCTTAAAAATATGCATAGAAGTGGTAGCAACGATTTCAACATTTTAGCAACTGCGGCCTACGAATGCAAAATTATAACCAATGGTAAACCGTTCGGCCACCAAAAAGCGTGGAAAGTTTGTTGTAACGGTCCAAAATGGGTTCTATATCCGGAAATGGCGCATTCGAGATCTACTACCGGTTCCAACAAAAGGGCAAGAACGTCCGAGTCGGACGTGGGTTTTGGACTCGACCTCAACGATGACTTCGACGCCACCGAGGGGGAGGGCCCACTGGACGTCCAACTTCGTCGACCATCGGTAAGGGACAAAGCGAGAAAGGGAGCGTCTTCAAGCGGAAAAGCACCGACAACTAGCAAAGGCGAGCTTGCGACATCCACAAATAAAGCTCTAGTTTTTCTAGAAAAAAATACGAATCAACGGAGGAAGCCCGTCGCTAAAAAATAGCTTTTACCGATCTTTAAATCATAAACACAAAGCCCAACCGGATATCGATCCGGAAAATCTTGCGATGTTTCTTAAAATTCAACGACAAGTGCGGGACAAATATGGAATTACGTTCTAATATTTATGGTTTTAAGTAATTTAGGATTCTATATTTTTATGTTTTTTTAAGAATTTTAGGATTTTAATTTGTGTTTTTTTATATTAATGTAATGTGTTTTTAATTTTAATGTAATGTGTGTTTTTTATAAATTTTGTTTTTTATTAAAATTATGGTTTGTATTTTGTTTTTTATTTAATATATTGTTTAAAAAGTTAAAAAAATAAAAAAAGGAATTTGTGGAGTGGTAACCATTTCCAATGTTTAGTGAGTTGATGGTGAAGCCGACGTAGCGCACAGATGACAACACTTTTTCAGTGGTTGGGTATGATTACTCCCCAAAACCGTAGGTCGAAGTCGAACCAATACCCGTGCGTGCAGGACACGTGGGTCACTTAAATGGCACACACTAATGTCTACAGGGATCAAAAGAGTTAGGTGCCGTTTGTTTTTTGGAAAAAACTTTTTCAGATCTCTTATTGCTGCACGACGCAACACTTTTCATCTCGCAACTGTTTGTCTTTCAGAAGTCTTCGGATTAAAAAACCTCTGCACGTGTTCTTCTTGGCACAACACTTGTTTTGCCTCTTCCTACCTCTTGCAACCTCTTCTTCTTTTTTTTTTTTTACTAAAATATTGATTATATATTTCTGAAATCTTATTTCACATTTTTTTTCGTTTTTTTTATTCTTGTTGATTTTTTTATATTGAATAATAATAATATGTTGATGAAATATCATTATTTTATATTTTTATGCTAAAATATATTTAATTTTTGTTAAAATATCATTATTTTTTTTGCTGAAATATCATAAATTCTTGCCGAAATATCATACATTATTAAATTTTCGGTATTAAAAAATTATTTTCGGATTATAAAATCAGTTTATTTTAATTTTTTAATATCTGCAGCAGCATGCAGATGTTAAAAAAACAAACACGCTTCTTATCACAGTCTACAACCGTTTGATCCACCTCTTCTACTGCAGAGAGTTGCAGAGGTGGTCCGCAGACTTTGGGCGTGTTTGGCAAAAGTAGCTGTTAGCTGGAAGCGGGTAGCAGGTAGCTGGTAGCGGGTAGCAGGTAGCGTATAGCGGGTAGCTGGTAGCGGGAAACTATAACTTTTATTTGTTATACGAGTGTTTGGCAAAAGTAGCTGAAAGCTTTTGATATATATAAAATTACATAAAAGGACAATTGATCAAAATAAATAAATATATAAATATATTTTTAAGTGTAATTATAGAAATTGATTTCAAAGTTCAGTAGCGTTTTGTTAAAAGCTACATGAAGTAGCTTTTAGATTTGAAGCGTTTTGTTTAAACTAAAAGCTAAATGCTCATACCACCAAACGAAACTTTTTGTTTAAACTATAGCGTTTTGTTAAAAGCTAAAAGCTAGAAGCTCTCAAACGCTTTTAAAAGCTCCATGCCAAACACCTTATTTTTTTCTTAAAAAAAAAACGACCAGCAACTTAGAGTTAATTTTAAAACTAAACATACTTTAGGACAAATTTGTGTAATTTATCCAATCCTTTACTTCCCTTTCCAGCGATCGGTGCTGTTTCTCCTAACCTTTTCTTCACCGTCGAATCCATTTCCTTCTTCAATCTGCTTCCACAATCAGTTCCTGATTTCGAACTGCAACAATCGATTTTAGGGGTAAACAAATCAAGATTAGAAGGGAGAGGCACAAAAAGGAGGAGAACGCTGTTCATCGTCTTGTTTTGTATTCCATCACGCCTCCCTGAAATCAATCCCAAATTCGACATCCAGAATTCGAAGCTTCTTGAGTTGATCAATAAATTGATGTTTTTTCTGTGATTGACTTCACTGATCAAGATTCCGACTTCCAGAATTTGACATCAAACTCGCTAGTAAGTAATTTCAAATTATTGTTTCTAGTACCTGTTGCTGAAGCAATTTATCTCTAGGACTTAGAGTTTTTGCTTGATAATTGTGATAATCTTGTTGGTGGTACATTTGATTTTGGTATGTTTATCTTTAAGCCCTAAATCGGGTTTATTTGTTCAACTATCATAGGATCGTCGTTCTACCTATCCGTCACCATAAACGCCCAAAAATTACTCTCATCGAAGAACATCACATATCCCACCCATACCGTGGATTCGTTAGAAATGAGTGTTTTTATTTCGTTTTTCTAGGATGTACATTTTAAATTTGTTTCTTTTACCTTTTTAATGTCTGCCAACTTCTGGACAAGTTGTTCTTGAAATTCTACATTTTGGGGCTTTTTTTTGCGTGCTCAAATTCGTTATCAAGTTAAATAATCAGGACTTTGATGAATTACTTTGATTCTGGTATTCTATTATAAACTTATATCGCTATGGATTTTTTTCCAGTCAATTTTTCTTATGAAATGTCTTCCTGTCTATAGTAGTTTGATGAGCCAGTATTCTTTCTCCTTCACCTTCAGATTGCCTTTTTAATTTGGTTACTATGTTGGCCCTAATCTTCATAAAGCACTAAGATCTAAGAGTGTCTACATAGGTTGTAGAGAACCAAGCATTTGAAAGCCACAAAGTTGTCATCCTTCTGTGTTTCCATTGTTGACCATTGTTCATACATAAACACTAAAAGTAAAACACATGATGTCCAGATTTTGCTCTGTTTTTGAGCTCCCTTTACCTTAATGCTAAAGGTAACATTTATTTTAGAAACTTCTGTATATTAATATTTACAACCAGAAAGTGGGAGGTTGTGGAATTTAGAATCTTTTGATTATATCATGAAATACTAATTATTTGTCTTATGCATACTACTTTATTTTTTTTTTCTATTATCTGTGACCCTCTAAAAAGGTTGGTACATTTTTTTTTTTTTTAAAGTTTTAACACTATTTCTTTTATATGAATTTTTTTTTTAAAAGGTGAGTTCTAGTGGATGTTAAAGCATGGCTAAGATCAGAGACCGAACTGAAGACTTTAAAGATGCTGTCAACAGGGGAGCTTTATCTTTGGGATTTAACGAGGTTTCTTCTCATTTCCTATATTGACCTTGTTTGACTTTGACAAATCTTTATGCTATTTGACCATTATTTTCTTTAATGATTTTCTGATGTGTAAGTGTAATTATTATCAACAGGCCAAAAGGGCAGCTCTAATGGCATCTTTCATCATGCACAAACCTCGTGAAAGATCACCTTTCACCAAAGCTGCATTAAAAACAGTACACACAGATCTTTACTACCATATACAAACATATTGTTTCTTGTATAATCTCCTAAAATATAAAAAAAAAATGTTATTTTCTTTACTTTATTTTTCAGCTAGAAAGCATTGGGACTCTAGAACAGTTCTTGATAAAGCATAGAAAGGATTATGTAGATCCTCATCGTACCACAGAAGAGGAAAGAGACAGCATTGAACATGAAGTAAGACTCTAAAAAAATATATCTTTGATCCAAGGGCAAAATGGTCATTTTCAAAAAAGGTTAACAGCTAGGTTGTTAACTTAAATGCACACGAACCAAAATCGTTAAATAAGGACCAATTTTGCAAAAGAGAACTTTTTTGGGACCAAATTTGATAAATTCAGCTAAACCCAGGGACCAAAAATGTAATTTACTCGAGTCTTACAATAACATAACTTTTTTTACAGGTTAGTGTTTTTGTAAAAGCTTGTAAAGAACAAATTGACATTCTGAAAAGCAGCATAACTGATGAAGAAGCAAATGCAAAAGGTTGGCTTGGAATTAGGGGTGACAATGCTAATGCAGATACTGTTGCACACAAACATGGAGTGGTATGTTTAATTTATTTTTTATTTTATAATAATGTTTTCTTTTTTATGTTTTTTTGTTTTTATTTTTTTTTGAATTATAGGTTTTGATTTTAAGTGAAAGTCTTCATTCAGTGACATCACAGTTTGATCAACTGAGAGCTATACGTTTTCAAGAAGCTATTAATCGAGCCATGCCAAGAAGAAAACCAAAACCAAAGCGGGCCCCACTTGAAAAAACAGAAACAACAAGTTCATCAGAGACGAGGGACCAAAGTGAAATTACAACTGAACCCATGAAAGTTCAACAGCAAGTTTTAGATGACGAAACACGTGCTCTTCAGGTATATATTAATTATTCCCCACTATATTTGTGTGGATTGTTAAAGTATGGAAAATGACGATACTACCCTTGTAGGTGGAGTTATCGAGTCTTCTTGATGCTGCACGTGACACCGAAACAAAGATGGTAGAGATGTCAGCATTGAATCATCTCATGTCGACACATGTCTTGCAACAGGCTCAACAAATTGAGTATTTGTATGATCAGGTCAGAAAATAAATAGCAACATACTTATACTTTTTTTTTTTTTTTTTTTTTTTCATTTATTTACCATAATAGTTAAACACTTACATTTATTTATTTATTATAGGCGGTTGAAGCAACAAAGAATGTTGAGATGGGTAACAAGGAACTAAGTCAAGCCATAGAGAGGAACAGCAGTAGCAGAGTTATTCTGTTGCTTTTCATTGCTGTTTTTACTTTTACTATTCTTTTTCTTGACTGGTATGATAATTAATACTTACCAATTATGTTTTTTTTTTCAAGAGCGAAAAATGAGTTGATTGGTTTTAGTTATAAGGATGTTGGTTTTTTATTTTGTTATAAGTTATATTTCAGTAGCATTCATGAATAATGTAAAATTATTATTATATTTCAATGAGGAAGGAGGGCAAAAAGGGACAGTGTTGTTACTTGTTAGTTACTCCTTGCAAGTTTAATGTCCTGTTGGTTTTATTATAATTATGTGTTTTACAAAATGCATAGTGTCAAACTAAAATAATATAAAATTTCGCTACCATGTTAACTGAAATGAAATATACATATGTTGCATTCAGAAATGACCAAAAAAATAAAAAATGTAAGGATATAATATCAAATAATCACTTCCATCTTCAATCATCTATTTCGTAAAAAATAATGTTTAAATTTTTTGCTTTTTCAGTACATCATATTTCAGTAATCAAAGACATACTTTTGGCTTTGTGATCGTTGAAACTATGGTCGTGAATATGATCTTCCTATTGTGGTCGTTTTTGTGATCACCTTGTAACTAAATCATATTAGTGTCCATTTGGTTGTGTACTTTTATCCAACTAGTTATGTCATTACTTTCATGAAACGACAATTGTATGATTCATTTTGATGCTTTAGTTGTTTTTATAATTTCTTGAATTCAGGTTTGTTTTATTTAAAAATCATGAATCTTGAAAATATTGATATCATTTATCTGCAATAGTCTAACTCTAATTGAAATATTTTAATCTTCTTAACATTTGTTGTTCATGAAAATAGTAAACATGAATAAACATGCCAATCTTATTTTTAATCAAACCATTAGTGCCTCATTTTCCTTGCGCGCATCGGTATTTTTGTCTTTTCAGATCTTATATACATGAGTGAGTATGGCTCAACATCGGGTATAACTAAACGTTTCTTACTTCATCCTCTTTCAAACATTTCCATTGCGCAAAGAAACCCTAATCCTCTACAATGTAAGTGACGATGGTGAGCTAGATGATTAGGAAAGAATGGGAGGATTATGATCTCGAAAGTTCATATGCTAATACTCTATCATTTCCCATACTCTGTTGATCATCCATCAATATTTCCCCAACAACTAATTTTTTTTACAACTAATGATCTATCTATGTTTAGCATACAATTGCACCATGAGGGGACTTTACTGACTTTCCAAGCCGTAAATACATCAAGGGTAAGATAACATACATTGGCGCCATCAACATTGACTTGTTTTCAGTACATGATATAGATGAGATGATGGAAATTCTAGATTGCATGGAAGAAGGTAAATTTATTTATTATCACTTCAAACGACCCATCTGGGATTTAGACTTTGGTTTGTATGCATTGGCTAGTGAAGAAGATATAATCCACTTTATCTCATATGTATCTTAACACAAGTTGATAGAAGTGTACACAGAGTTCTAGAAAACCAAATTGCATACATATAAGATGTCCCAAAACACTGCAAAGTTAAAAGATACAAGAAATTCCAGAGGCCCTTTGTTCTAGAAGGTTGTACTTGACATGGACTGACTCAACTACATTGGATGGTCCTAATGAAGAAGCCCCTATTTCAGAGCATGTTGAAAATGTTAACCAACCCCCTATTGCATTAAATGGAACAAGCTTTGACCAACCCCATGTTACATTGAGTGAAAGTTTGGTTTAATCAAATATTGTAATAGGTGAACCAATCCTTACACTCAACTCAATCTCTATTTATATACCAACTATGGGAAGTTATGTTAATGAACCAATGGTAGGAAGCTCAAATGTTAGTGAACACTGGGTTGATACATTTAAGTGGTTTGAACCTATTGTTAAACCTCATGTGGAACCCAATGTTTACCCTCCTGTGGAACCTAATGTTGAGCCTCCCGTGGAACCTAATGTTCAACCTCACATGGAACCTAATTTTGAGACTCATGTGGAAGATGTAAGTGGTGGAGAGGTTATTGACACTGTAGATAGTGAGGATATTGAAGACAATACAAATAGTGATTTCATAGTTGATGAGGATAACGTGTTAGATGACCCTAATGTTGATATGAAGGACTTTCACCTTAACATTGACAAAGAGGCTGAGTGGGTTAGAAATGTGCAACATCAACTACTGTCCCACAGTTCAATAATGTAATGAAAAAACTAAGGAAACTAAGCAATGAAACATATGAGCGAGTTAAGGCTATTCTACCTAAGCATTGGTACACATCCTACTTCTCAGGTATGGAATCTTTCGTGATAAGTTTTATCACTTGCTTGGAGTTTATTAGGGAGTGCATCATGAGGAAACTTGTCATTGTTCAAAAGGAAATAGACAAAGCTAATGGGCCGTTAACTCATACAACCACCAAGACCCTTGAAAAATATAAAATAAAGCAGGAGAGTGTAGGGCAGTGTTTTCTGGTAATGGGAAGTACCATGTTTCAGGTCAATGTATGGATCAGTGTGTGGTTGATATGGGAAAACAAACATGTTCATATAGGAAATGACAGACATGCCATGCAAGCACACCATTGCAGCTATATGGGATATGAGTCTTAATAATGAGGATACTAGCTGAGACATAGGTTCACCCTACATACTGGCTGAAGACTTGGAAAGAAATATATGTATTAAAAGTTGAACAATTAACGAGAGGTTGATTGATAGAGGCCCTATTAGCAAGCCAAAACATAAGAGAAGAATATCTCCAACAAAAGATGATGTTGATAGAGGCCCCATGATTTGAAACTTTTAAGTTATGTTAATATTTTGTTAGGCATTAATTGCCTTGATACTTTTTTGTTGTGTTTGGTTGTTTGCTACATTATGTTTAGGTTTAAGTAGTTGTATCAAGTTGTGTGTATGGCTTAAAACTTTGTTGCTATTTTGAATGTTTGTGCTATTTAATGGTAAATGGTCATGTGAGCCTTCAAACTTTGTTGCTATTTTTTATGTTAAGGTTTTTTACGGTATATTGCATCTGTTACATGAAAATGGTTATATACACCTTTTAGAACACAATGTTCACAACAGATAGAGTTGCACAAAATAAGCACATAATCATTACATTTGAAGGTTCTTACATACCCATCCAATACATATACCAAAATACTAACAATTTCATTACCAAAAGACTAACAACTTTATTATTAAAAGACTAAGACCATCTCCAACACACTTCGATCCACCCCCCCCCCCCCCCCTAAAAAAATAGAGTGAAAAATGGGGTACATAATGTGTTATCTCCAACCCTACTCAACTTTTTATCCCAAAAAGTATATTCCTAGTATATGCCAATCTTCCAACTTACATAGATTGTCAAACACACCCCTTTTATCAATTTGGTTTTAACAAATATATAATATATATATTTTTTTCATTACAATAAAATAATAATTGGACTTTTATGAAGAAACACATAGCTCGCACAAGCGACCTTCACAACTTAAACCTACTAAACATTCTTAATAATTAATAATAGAAATGATAATAAATGTTGAAACTATAAAACAAACACCTAATAAGAAATATCAATGCCAAGATTGTTAAAATGTGTATTTTTTTTAGTTATTCACTAATCTTGGTTTTTATTTTATAATAAATGTCATATTAATGCAAAATATTCATTTGAAAATTACACAAACTCTTGATCTTTCAAGTAATTAACCAAAAATACTCGGGTTTTTTTTTTAACTTAATTAAATCATTCACTTTAACCTCCTTAATTTGATTTATTTAATACATTAAAATCAATTATTAGTCTAAGTTCAAACCAACTCTTCATTTTTCAACCTAATATATACATAGACGTTGATGAATTTTATTAACTTGGTCATAGTAACTTCTAACAACTAAACACCCGTTATAAGAATCATGATTTTAAACAATATAATTGCACACTGCGCAACGCGCAACACACGGGAATTCGTCCACTATACTTATAAAGGAAGCATTTTTTTTTCACCACATTCATTTGAAACTCTCATGACTTCTCAATTTCTTTCTAATAATGATTATAAGTTGGTTAATAAGGTTAAATAAATATCAAACCTAAAGTGTAATCATATATAAACTAAATTTCAATATTAAAAGAATATATTTACTTCTACTTACAAAGTTATATTTTTAACTTTTAACATATTATACTTAACCTATTAGTTTTAATATGATGTTGTATGTAAACCTTTATCATTTTAAAGCTACAACTTTTGAACAATTTGTATAAAATACTTAAATTGTTAATTTAAATATAACATTATAAGTCAACTTAAATAACTCAAACAATATTTTGTAAATAGTTAAAAATGATAAATTGTTGTGTCTTTCTAATAATGATTATAAGTTTGTTAATAAGGTTAAATAAATATCAAACATAAAGTGTAATCATAAATAAACTAAATTTTAATATTAAAACAATATCTTTACTTCTACTTATAAAGTTACGTCTTTAACTTTTAACATATTATACTTAATTTATTAGATTTAATATGTTGTTGTATGTAAACCATTATCAGTTTAAAGCTACAAATTTTGAACAGTTTGGACAAAATACTTAAATTGTTAATTTAAATATAACATTACAGTGTCAACTTAAATATAAATTTCAGTTTCACTTAAAAACCCAAAGAATATTTTTGTGAATAGTTAAAAAATGATAAATTGTAGTGCTAAATGCAAAAACTAAATTGTAATCTCATTTTAACTAAAATATTTCCTAAAGATATTTTTATAATCTATATCATATCATACTATACTTATAAATGAGACATTTTTCCTATCACCTCATGCATCTGAAACCCCCCCACAAATTTCCAAGCACCTCATGCATTTGAAACCCCCACACCTTTTCACCTTCAAAGTAATTAATCACATATCATGAAAAGTTTTATAACTTATATAATATGTTTAATTAGCACTTAATGGATAGTCTACTATAAAAATATCATTCTCTTTGAGTATACACACAAATACAAATCACATACAAAATTCACAAAGAAAATAAGTTTAAATGTTTTGTGTTGGTTTGAGGGCTTTGGACCATTTTTCGAGCCATGTTATTATGTTAAAGTTTTTAATTTGTAAGTTTGTTATATACTAATTCTTTTTTTATATTTTTCTTAGTTTAATTATTCTTTTAAAACAATCATTGTATGTTGTGGTTGAAACTTTAAT